AATACTTTAATAATCCCAGGGAGGGATTACTTTAGTTACATTACTCCATCTGTAATAGAGTGACTATAGTTTGATAGAACACTATATCATACAATATATATAATTAGAGGGTCCCTGCTCCACCTTGCAATTAGTTTGGGGGTCCTTGGCCTGGAAATTTTGTTGAAGACCCCTGATATAAACCAATTTAATGAAATGTAAATCACTTTAGATTTGAACTTTCTTTGGAAAATGGAATATACAGCTGTGGAAAATTTCCATAGATTATTTATTCTCCAGGTGCACAATATTTATATTTATAGTACAGTATTATTTTCTAACTATTCTGTTATTTTTAAACACTTTTTCAGGGTCCACATTTGTGTGACCATTTTTGCCACACAATTACCCCATTTTGAGGCAATAAAGGGATTTTTCTATTCTATTAGTTTGAACAAGTTTTCACAAAACTTGGAACCTGTAAATACCACAAATTAAATGCCACGTCTTTATCTTAATTTGTATAATCTATTTCTATAATTTTCAAAACTGGAGAATGAAAGACATGCTCCTCCTCTAAACTCTCCATTCCTCTGTGTCTCTCTTACCTGTGGATCTGTCTGCTTGGAATGCCCTTCAGCAGCTTCGGCTGAGCTGCACAAGCCGCCTTTAAAAACGCTCCACCCCGCGTTCTCATCATTATTATTTCCCTTTAAACACCCGCTCACACTTTGTTCTTCATTGTCCAACAGTTATAGCGACTTTTTAAGGTCTGAGTCTCCGCTTTGTTCGTTTGTTTTCGCAGCTAGCCATTTAAGCAGCCGCTGTGTCCCGTGAGTGGGTTCTATATGTAACCGCGCCTCCTACAGGGGGAGGAGCTGTATGACGTAGTTATGTTTAACCAATAGCGATGCACGTGGTTGTGACATCTTGAGGTCAAAGGTTTTCAAAATGGAGGCGTTCAAAACGTAAACAGAAAACCTGCGTTTTTGAAGGACAGGTGAGATTAATTTGAAACGCAGTTGTTTTGTTTTCCATTTGGCGTCCCGTTGTGTTTCTTTGCAGCCGCAGAGTTAATAACTGTGTGTTTGTTTTGCAGATATGGGGCTGTTGTCGCGGACGGTGCAGTCTGTGGCGAGGCAGAGGGAGTGGAGTCGCAGACACTTCTGGGGTTGGCTTAATGCTGTTTTTAACAAGTGAGAATCCTCAATCATTGACATGTTTGACTCCGATCTTAAAGTGATGCAGGACCTTCAAAGCAGACTTTTTCCTTAAACGTTTTGATTTGTTTTTAAAGATATGCTCCCCAAAGGGAGGGGTTAAATGCAGAGATATATTTATCCAATGTGAGATCAATAAAGTTAAATTATATATTTTTTTATTATTATTATATAAATATGTATATAATACTGGTATATTTTAGTGGAATTATTATGACTTAGACTTATCAAAGTTATTGTCTGTTATTAAGCTTTGGTGACAATGAGACAAAATTCATATTAGTAGTTAAACAATAACTGGTGATAAAGAAAAGTAAATGCATTGTTCTTTTGGTAGCTCGTTGGTTTTCAGGGAGGAAGATCTATCTAATTGCTTTATTGAGACTTTGTGGCATTCTTTCCTGCAGTTTTAAAAACATAACATAAAAAATATCAAATGAAAAATTGTAATCAAAATACGCTTTATTCTAAAAGGATACTTTAGGGCATAATGCATAAAATATAAGTTTGAGGGGTTCACTGATCACTGATTCCCGATCTTTAAAAAGCCTGAAATGCCGATTCCGATTTTGACCAATACAGATTTCTATTTATAACTTTTAGTTCTTATAAGATCAAAAGATAGCAGATATTTCTATCTGATATTAAGGAAGAAACAAATAATTGTCTGTAAAACATTAAAAACTTCTGAAATAACTGCAATAAGAAACTCAAGGGAGTTTGATTGGCCAAATCATTGGCGCATCCCTAATTATTATGTTGGAGAAATATTTTTGTAGTCTAATAATTTTTTAATTGTAAATATTTATTCACTAAATGTACTCCAAACATATATTTTAGGGAGGCGGGGCCTCAGATGTCCTTTTAGCCATTCTTGGTTCAAGTAGTGATCAGGTGACGTTTGTGAAATAATAATTTTTTTAATGATACTGCAGTAAGATTTTTTTCATATTTACGGCAAAACATAAAATAAACCTATTGATATTTGCCAGTTAATTAGTAAACATTTGCATGTTCCAGCATGCTACCTTTGTATGGTATGCACCATATAATGCAATAGGTATATATTGCCCTAAATACTATAACTTTTAATATTGTGAATATGTCTGGAACTGACCTATTCATTAGATAAGAGTATATTTATGTACATGTGTGTATGTATTTCTCTAAGGTTTCCTGATTTATTTATTTTTTATGCTGGCTGCATTTTGATCAATTTTCAATCCATTAAATTTTTTCTGTAAGTGTCTGTGTTGCTGGATTCATCTGTCTTTCCCAAACCTTGATGATTTCATATGATCATTATGTATTTTAGACAGACTATTTGCTTGGTTTTATTCAGGGTGGACCATGAGCGGATCAAAGCCGTTGGTCCGGATAGAGCTGCAGCAGAGTGGCTGCTAAGATGCGGCGCCAAAGTGAGGTTTGAAGGTTTTGACCGCTGGCATCATGACTACAACGGACTGCCAACGGGGCCTCTTGGCAGATACAAGATCCAGGCAATCGATGCTACAGAATCCTGCATCATGCACAGAGGGTTCGACTACCTGGGTCAGTGCAAAGAATGTTCTTTTGTCTTCTTGTGACTCATCCATCACTTATTCTAATTTCCTTCAAAAAATATTTCCGATTAACTTTTTTTTACGCTTTTTAAAACAAAAGGCAATACTGCAGTTGATTTTAGTCAGCATAATACTTAAGCATATTTTAAATTGCCCTTTTTTTTCTTAGATGGCTTAAAATATGTGGAGGAAATTAAACTCAACAAGTGTATCTACATCGAAGACATCTGCCTGGAAAGGTTGAGCTCAGTGGAGAACCTGCAGGCCAGTCTTTACATGATGGAGGTGGTTTCATGTGGAAATGTGACAGACAAGGGCATTATTGCTCTCCATAAACTCAGGTTAGTGGTTATAAAAATAGTTTTCTTTATTCAATCCGTGAAAGCAGTTACACAGAGAACCAATGAATTAATTACTACTTCCCTCCAGGAACTTGGAGTATCTGTTTCTCAGTGATCTCCCTGGAATCAAAGATAAAGAAATGACAGTTGACCGGCTGCAGAGGGCGCTCCCACGTCTGGACATCTCACTGGACCTGGACTGAAGCAAGAGCAGATGGCTGTTGTGCTTCTGAAGAACGGACGCGCTCCCCCTGTTCCAAACACGAATGAAAACCCTCAAACATTCAACTGGATGTTTGGCTTTGGATTGTGTGCCTGAATCAGCCATTCTACAGTTTAGGCCGTTCCTACTGATATTTCTAGGTTTACTGAAGGTCGTTCAGTTCTGCTCGGGAATTTGTCATTCTTAATTTCTTGTAGGATAAATGTAAAATATATATTGACAATTTGTAGAAAGAAACCTAAGAATGAGAGTTCCAGGGATAAAGATTATTGTTTTATTAAAGGAATTGTTGTAACAGGAATGTTTGCAGTTGTATTCACTGAAGTCAATAAATATCATATTTAGAACTAATTAACGTTTTTATCCTTCATTATAACTTAGTGAAAGATTAAACTTGTTACAAAATATCCACTTTAAGAAAGGTCATTACATTATTTAAAAAAACACAAACATTTGGCAAACTGGACAAGGCAGTAGAGCAGTTTTACCATCAGTCAACTCTGTAACAAGCAGAGCAACACGGCGCTCCTCGTTGTCTTAATAAACAAGCAGAAAAGGCTGGCAAAACATACATAAACCAACACATCCAGAAGGACATGCCGGCAATAGTGCATAGAGTCAGTAAGACACCCAGCATGTCTTATTAGGAACAAAAAAATTCAAAAATCTACTGAAACTGTTTTTTTAAATCATTATAATGCTAATAAACTATATTCTAGAGTGCTTTATTTCCTGAGCGGTTCAGAAAATGCAGTCGTCCAGCTTAACTTCTGATCAGCATCGCAGCTCTTAGATGTTTGGGAGGTGGTAGTTAAACTTGCGCAGGTTGTTGTAGTATTTTTTATTGTCCAGGGCTGGAAAGATGCTGCTGCTGGTCAACTGTGGCAAATACTGGAGAGGAAAATAAAAAGGAATGAGTCCATTTTGAAATATATTTATCATGCATATGTATTCAAACCTCCTATAGGGCTGTGCAGTGCGTGGCTTGCAACAAGAAGGTTCTGGTTTCGATTGATCATGGAGTTAGCATGTTCTCCCTGAGCATGTTTGGGTTCTTACCGGGTACTCCAGCTTCCTCCCAAAAACATGACTGTTAATTGGCCTCTGTATAATGAAATTTAGGCAGGATCGGGATGAGTCGGCAATAAAGATGCACACACAGAACACACAAACTGTTTCTGCTAGGATTAAAATGTGTCGTTTTATTTCCGACTCATCCCGATCCTGCCTAAATTTCATAATACATTTTCTGGCGTCACGAACAGGATGGATTACACTACAGGGGACACAGAGACTAACTTTACACCTTAACTTCAGAAGGACGGATGGTGTGCAGCTGCTGAGATGCAGACATTAAGGAGGTGACTGGATGCCCACTGCTTCAGATGAGAACAGGCCACTGGCAGTGATGGGGGTCTGCTAGGGTTGCGTACGGACGCCTAGCTGCGCGGGTTGCTGCCCTGCCGGGATCGACCGGCCCTCCGATCCTTGTGTCACGGTAGGGGGACAATATAAATTGTATTTAGACGATATAATTTGTATTCAGCACCGTGCCTTGATTGATGTGCTTGCTTTGCTGTTTTCTGTGGCGGAATAAAACGACACATTTTAATTCTAGTAAAAACAGTTTGTGTGTCATTTTTATTACTGACTCACCCCGATCCTGCCTAAATTTCATAATACAGCCTCTATAAATTGTCCTTAGGTCAGACTGGCGACCTGTCCATGCTGGACCCCGCCTCTTGCCCGCTAACAGCTGGAGATGGACACCAGCACCCCTCCCAACCCCAGCAGGGATAAGTGTGATGGAAAATGGATGGATGGATGGATGGATGGATGGATGGATGGATGGATGGATGGATGGATGGATGGATGGATGGACGGATGGGTGGATGGATGGATGGATGGATGGTGTAACAAAGTGTGGTTAAAGTGGAAGGAAAAGATGCTTTTCCAACTTCTTTAAAACAGTAAAATCACATTTCAGTCCCATAGAAGCTGCCTTTCTTGGAATTTTTAAACAGTTTTTTGAATCCGGAGAGAAATAATTTGAAGCATTCTTTTTTTTTTTATGTCTACTCAAGGATTCCCATCCTAGAGCTCTGGTTGTTTGTTCAGGATCAACCTCTACTTCACTTTTCACTCTTGCAGTATCTATAACAGATTTCCATGCAGGACAACCGTGATTAAAAGCTAAATAAACAAATGAATAAGAAGATTAAGGATGTGCTTTAAAAAGCTTCCCTTTAAAAGTGGCCACAGTGTCCAGGGAGCTATCTGTCATGGAAAATTATGACCTTTGTGTATTAATGATTGGAATATATGGAATGAATACATTAATTTATTCGATAATAAATCTTAAACATGCATAATTTTTATTCCAGCTAGAAGTTTAGTTTAAATTTACATTGGAGTCACAGTGAGCCACATTAAAGTCTCTGATTCTAACTTAACAAACCCTAATCAAGTGGAATTAATTAGCACCTCTCTGCTATACTGGATAGATTATGTTCTTTATATTTAGTTTTTTTAGCTAATGGTTTGGTGAGTTATCCACCAATGAAGAGATGAATTGTAATGGAAATAGGAATGTCAAACTGGTTTGCACAAGATTGCCTGAATGACAGCATGTGGACACCATTATTATTGCTCACCCCGGGGGGAAGGTGTCTACGAGGTAGACGGGTCCTCTTGTAGTTGGTACGATCCAGTTCTCGAGACGTGCTCTCGCTTTTTTCTCTCATACTGTCAAAGTAGGGGTGGCGTAGGAGCTGCTCACAGGTCAGCCGCTCAGACGGGTCCATTTTCAAACAGCTCTACATGATCAATACGTGAAAAAAATAAAAATACTATCAATCAAGGTATTGACTCCATTTTAGGAAGTTATTTTTCTCTAATGTGGTTTAAACATTCTTACCTTCATAAGGCTCAGAGTTTGATGTGAGAGATTTGGATATTTTTGTTCCAGAGGTTCCTAAGAAACCAAACATGATGAAGGAGATAATTACTGTTTAGATTCGATTGTTTCTGGATAAAGGTTTGCAAATCTTTTTAAGTTTTTACATCACTAGTGGCTCGTTTTTTTTTTGACAGGAGAGAGACATGCGGGAAAGGACCACAGGCCGGATTCAAACCCGGGTCGCCCGCGTCGAGGACTAAGGCCTCCGTACGTGGGTCGTGTGCTTACCACACTGCCACCTGTACGCCCAAAGGTTCACAAATCTGACTTATAAATATAAACATGTAATGCAGCAGGGGTAGAGACTCACCATCTCTGGTGGCTCAGGGATGGAAACTCCGCAGAAGAACTGGTTGTTGCTGAAAACCTGCTGATGTCGAGGAGTCAGATCTCCTGCAGGAGGACAGAAAGCGTTGAACTCAGTCAGATCTGCTTGACAAAAACAAACTATATCGAATCAGGAAAAAACTTTATGCTTTTAATATCAATTTGACTACATTTTCTAAATAAGTCATTTTCTGGGCATCATCCCAAAAATATTAAGTATTTTACATTTTAAATAAATTCAGTTAATATTACCTAGAAGAGCACAAAATTATTCTGTGGAGAAAATTAGATTTTAATGATGAAGTTTGGTAAATTATTTTATTATCCTTATCCTTTTCCTCTGATCAGCTCAGACAAGAGCCTTAAAGCTCAGGACTGCACAGAGCATATATTCTTCTCATAGTTTTGGGTATTTATTGGCATTTTAACTCAGGGTCTCATGAACCTATGCTTTACATTCCTATTAGATTGAACCTATTAAAATAAAAGTTCCCACATGAAGATAAATGTCTCTGCAAAGAACTGAGATGGTAGATAAAAGTTGAAGAAATCTGAGACATGATTTGGCAGAAAAGCTACAACAAGTCAATAACTTCTTTATAATTGATTAAAACTTTATTGATCTCACATTGGAGAAATGTACCTCTGTATTTAACTGCATATGGGCTGCCATAGTGGGGCCCCTGGGGAGCAATCTGGGGTTAAGGGTCTTGCTCAGAGACCCAGAGAGGCAGTCTGTGGGAGTGGGTTTCGAACTCACAACCTCAGGATTCAAAGTATATGCCCTACCCACTAGGCCGTCACTCAAAGTGTCCAAATTATTAAATGGTTTCTATGTCCCTACATCCAAACCCCCACAGGTTCAGGACGGGTCTCACCCAGAGTCCTCCGGATCAAGTAAAGCTGGTCCATGTCCGACTTCCCGGGCCACAGAGGAATCCCAGAGAGCAGCTCCGCAAACACGCACCCAACTGCCCACACATCGACAGGGGCCCCGTACTGGGTGTCCCCAACCAGCAGCTCTGGGGCCCGATACCAGCGAGTCGCTACGTAGTCCGTGTAGTAGTCACACGGGCCGGCTGGAAACACAAAAAGGCTAATTTTAGGGAAGAATTACAGGGGGGGGGGGGGTCTGTCTAAACTTGTTCATCATTAACCCTCTATGAACAGGAAGGAGGTTGATTTAATTTCATGACAATATTCATTTAATAAAGGCTTCAGGCCATCTTAGTTATTTCCATCAACATCCCATAGTGACACACAGCAGGATTTTTCCTGGTGGTTAGATGAGCTTCAAAGCAAGAAAATATTCAGACTTTTTTGTAAAATATGTCCAGAAATATGTCCAGAATTGGCCATAAAATGTGTATTATGGTTAACATTACTTTACCTGAGGAATAAATACCTGGTTGAGTTAAGCATACTGGGATCTTTGCAGATTGACCCAAATGTTTGTTTTCAGTATTTGCACTGAGTTCACGTAAAATGATCTTAAACAACCACTAAGTGGCAGCATCAACAGTTTACCAGGAAACCTACTGAGAATCCTGGCAAAGCCGAAGTCACAGAGTTTGATGACTTGGTGTTTGGTGATGAGAATGTTTTCTGGCTTGACGTCTCGGTGAATGCACTGCAAAAACACAGATAGCAGCCATCAATCAGAGGGTGTTTTTGGAACATTTGAAGAGCAAATTCTGAGTAACAATTCAAAGATAAAGAGAATAAAGTTTTTGTGAAAGAAAAAACTTGGAGGGAAAAGGGGCTTTCTGGATTTTATGGCAGCCCGATATACAGGGGCCCTTGTAGCTTTGGTTGTGTCTAGGTGATACATTAACGGCTGGTTGGCCAAGGGGAAGGAATTCATGCAGTAAAAGAAGAGCCGTAAAGCTGAGGGCTCGGTGGGAGATGGAGAAGGGAGGAGAGCACAGAGGAATTTGAAAAACAGCTTTGATGAGAGGAGGATGAACTGCACTGGGGGAAAAAAAACAAAAACAAAAAACATGGTGCACTCACTCACATTTTGTTTGTGACAGAAGTTGACGGCTTGAAGCGTCTGCCAGGTTATACTTTTGACCAGGTGCTCCGGGATGCTGAGGAAATCAACACTCAAGTGTCACTTCTATTATATTGTCCAGCAATCCACACACACACACACACGTGTCGCAATATCCTTGTGGGGACCTTCCATTGACTTCCATTCATTTCCCACTAATGTACATGGCCTAACCGTGACCCTTGCCCTAACCCTAACCATTACCGACACATACCTATCCCTAAACCTAAACTAAACTCAATTCACACCTTAGTCCTAAACCTAGCCCCCACCCCAAGAAGAGAAACTTTCCTTATGGGGACCAGTTGTTGGTCCCCACAAGTACCTATGAGTCCCCAAAATGTAGCATATTCCTTGGAAATTGTCCCCACCAGTTATTAAAGACATGGCCACACATTACACACACACACACCTTTATTTTCCTGACATATGGGGACATTTTATTGACTTGCATTCATTTTATATGGCCTAACCCAGACCCTTATTTTAACGAATATGTACCTAATCCTAACCTAAACTGAATTCACACCTTAGTCCTAAACCTAACCCCAACTCAAAGAACAGAACTTAACCACATAGGGACCGGTTGAATATGTCCCCATATGTACCTGTAAGTCCTCGCATGTAGGATATTTTACAAAATATGTCCCTCACATTGCAGGTAAAACAAGACTACACACACACACACACACAAAAACTCAATCTGTTTTGTTCAACTGCTAAAGAACAAATGATGCATTGCATAAAGCGTTTCACATTTTGTCTCTTTACAAATAAAAATTTCAGTTTATTTGTTCATTCAAATGAAACAATGTAAAATTAAAGTGGAACAAAAAAGAGATTTTTTTTTCACAAATAGAAAATGTCAGAAAAGTGTGGCATTTAATTAAGTTGGAGTGAAATTAAATTTGGAGGTTTTTTTAGGATGCATCTCTGCCAGCTTTGCATTTCTTAACAATGACTTATTTTCCCATCGTGGACAGAGACTCTGGGTCTGGCCCAGTGTAGCATATAAACAGGGAAGAGTTTCTTTTCTTGCAGGATTGACCCATATCACAGTTCTGTCGACTGTGACTGGCCTCTTTGTCCTTATGGTCTGATGGTTTCATCATGGAGATGGCATGCAAGCATTTTTATCCGCCTTTCATTTTACATGCAGATCAAAAAGTTCAATTTTATATAGTTTTTCTTCATATAAATGCAAATTCTTAACTCGCTCTAAATGTGAAAAAGTCAAACGCTGAACACTTTTCCAAAGCTCTGTAAAAAAGTTTTATTCTGACATTCAATTCTTTCCTCATCACAAAATCCATAAATATCCCCAATTTAAGAAAATCAGTTTCTACTTTCCCTCTCTGTGCGTCAAGATTTCCAGACTGTTTTTTTTTCTTCAGTTGATGACAGGGAACAACAGAGCTGCTGTTTCCACTGAGAGCCTTGATGTTCAGCCCCGAGGCTCTGCTGGCTCTGCAGTTGCCATCGATCACTGTTGCCGTGGAAATGGCTAATTCGAGCCTTGTGTCTGCCGATCAATTATAATCTCCATTTTCTTTTCCCCCATCTGAATGAAACGCAGCTCGCAGGCTACAGGCCGGGAGCAGAAAGTAGAAACGGGACAGACAGAATGCTCCCGACTATGAATTAAGGCTTGCTGCCAATGAAAGCCTCTTTAAGAGCATCACTGTAAGCATACCATGGAGAGTCGGTCGGCCTCCGTGGAGACCAGAGCTCATCTGCACATCAAAGCGGGACAGACCCTAGTGGATGCTGACGAATACACGTCATGGTTTTTGCTCTGGTTGGTACAGAGCGCTTGCACGCCGCTTTCATTTTGTTGTCAAGTTACAAATCAGTACAATTATATTCAAGTGGAAATTTTAAGTGGGAAAAAAAAGGATTACCAACAAGGCTTCTTCAATAAGAGGTTTACAACGTTCCAACTTTATGAGCTGGATACTCATCAAGATGTCCTTTCTGTGCTGTGATTTAACTTCCCAGCATAGTGAATTCTGTCCTTATGTATTTATATAGAAATAAAAAAAAAAATTGGAATAAAAAAAAAACTTCTTTACTTACAAAAACAGCATATTTGGAAACATAACGCTTTAGATTCTGCATGATACGAAGTAAATCACATTTAATAACCCATCAGGGATCCTTTTCTCCTACATTTGTATTTATTAATGGGAAACTAGTACTTTTTGAACTGTTTATAATTACTTAACAAGAGTAATTCTGTTGTAGAAGTTCTTAGTTTTCCTTCTTGTTCCAGTGACCTACTAAAGCACCCAATAAACTATTTTCATCAGAAGCACAAACTTTCATTAATTGAAACGGGATCTCCTGAGACTGACCAAAAACAAGTAGAGCCTAAAAGGAAAGGTTTAGGGAAAGGACACATTTTTCCAACATTTTCCTAACATTCCTGTTCTCCAGGTCTGTACTTATTGAAGGGTAGAAGATGAATTTTAAAGCAGAACATAAGAAGTTCTGTTTGCAGCTCGTCTTGAGTTTATTTTTCCTAATTATGTCAGATGTTCCAAGCAGAGCTGGATTTTTTAAAAACAGGATTGGAGGCAGATCTTTTATTTTTCAGGCTCCTGTCCTGAGAAACCAACTCAGTTATATTCTGTTAGGATGTTTGGGAGACGGCTGTCTGTTACACTAGGCTTTGTTTTTTTTTATTGTTCATAAAGCTTATAGTTAAAGTCAGGTTATCCTGAGCTATGTCTATAATAATGCTGCTATAGGCTTAGTCTGCTGGAGGACATAATACTTTTTCTCACTCAGCTATATTCCACTACTCTTCTTCCCTTCTATGCGGTGTTATTTACTGCTCTCAGATAGCACTGAGCATTTCCCTTTCTATAATCTCTGTTTTGTTTCCTCCTCACAGTAGCTCCATCTGGCCTGATGTTCATCCAGCTGCAACCATCCTGAAGGGAGTCATCAGCTGGGCTGCTGCTGGTCAATTCATGCTGTCCTCCTGCTGATTATCTATTCAGTCCAGATTTAATGTAGTTAAGTCAGTCTATCCAATTGAGACTGTGACGGATTGTATGTTCTCCATTTCATCTTCCAAACCTGAACTTTGCTTTAGAGCTCATCTGTTTCTATTAAACCACTAAAGGTGTTAAACTGCTATTGAGTTTTTACTTTTCTTTTACATTGAAAGTACTTCTAGATCAATGTATCATGCATGAAACATTATTCCATGCTTGGTATGAGTGATTGTTGCAAAGTCAACACCACAATGTCACTTCATCCAAGAAGAGAGGATTCTCAGAGTCTTTTACTCGATGCAATCGGCTGGGATGTTCGATAGAACACACTTTAAACTAATCCTTTGATATTTCATGGATTATGTAAAGTTTCTTGACACAACGTGACAAGATTGCCAGACTTGGGAAAATAGTTTTCCTGCAGAACCTCAAGTTACAACGAAATGTTTTAAAAGAATGCATATTTAAGAACAGATCTCTAACAAAGAACCACTGTTAGACTGGAAACTTGCTATTTACAGATACTCTCCCTGGTGAAGCGACAGAGCCTGAGATATTTTAGGGGTTAAGAAGAGTCTGACACCCCCAATGGGTTTCCATGTGAATTCAGCACCAACTGAGAAGTGCTGAACAATCACACGCAAAAATACAATTCTGTCACAATTAGGCTTGTCCCGATCCGATCCACGTATCGGAACGGATGCCGATATTGGCAAAAAAATGCATATCGGCAAAGAATGTAAAAATGCTGATCCAGACTGC